CCATTCATAGCGCATACAACATTTTTAATTAACATTAAAAATTTTCTTTTTATAATTTTTATGTTTTTTGAATTTAAATTTAAGTTTGGAAAATAAATACAATTGTAAAATAAAAATTAAAATATTTAATTTTGATAATTTATTAATAAATGGTTTCTATAATTAAATTTAAATATAAAAAAATTAATGCAATATGTACATATATTAAGAAATACACAATAAAAATATGGAAAATGTATATAAATATAATAATTTATATTAAAAATATAAAATATTTAAAAAATTTTAACTACGTATTAAATTTATAAACTAAAATTAAATTAATAAGAAAATTTTTTTGCTTTTTCATTTTGTTTTTTAAAAATTAAAATTTAAATTGCTTCAAATAAAAAAAAAAATAAAAAAATTTTTTTTCTTTCTGTTACAATTTTTCCAATTTCTTGGCACAACACAGCCATCAATATAACTTTATATGCCTGCTGGTGCTTGGATGAAAAATTTGGCGCATGATGGCGCGTTTGTTAATAAGTGTTAGTTATTTTATATTGCGTCCCATTTGATTGTATTTGAAACCGGTTAAATAATTGCGTTAGTATTGAAAATATGTATATATATATATACAAATATTGTGTGTGTATTTTACAAAAAAAAAAAAAAAATAAAAATTCGTGAAATGTACGTGTATTTTGAAAAGATACAAAAATGGCAAAATTTAATATACAAATTTATAAAATTGTTTTTTTTTTTTTGTTTCTTAAAGAATTTTTTGAAATTCTCTCGAGAGAAACATGTATATTAATAAAAGTATGTTGTTTAATTATTTTCACATCTTATTATACATACTTAAATGCAGCTGTGTTAATATTTATATATTGGTGTGTTATAAAATTTCCACCTAATACTTTTCAATATTAAAAAAATATAAATATAACGAATATTTTTTAATTTCTAACACTACAAAGATATTTGTATCTACAATATGAATTTTCATTTATGTGTTTATTTAAGAGTTTTATATATACATAAATATTTACATATTATTCATTTATACGGTTGAAAAATAATATGAGAATAACGGTTTCAATGTATTAGTTTTCATATTTATAAGTGCACAGTTGCCAATTTCGTCTATGCAATGTGAATTTCTTTTTTATTAATTTTATTGTAATAGGCATAAAAAATAATATTATTTTTTTAACCAATTTTTTCTTTATTGAAAATACATCATTAAATATTAAAAAAAAATAATAATAATAATAAAAATATAAAAATGAAACAGTAAAAAAAATGTGTATTCCAACTGGAACTTTTTTTATTTTTTTTTTTGCTAAAAACAAACCTTGAGAGTTTCTCTTTAACATTTTTTTTTTTTTTTGAGATAAACACATGGAAACTTTTTGTTTAATATTTTTTTTTTTGGTAAGTTATGTCGCGCGCATTTTTTTTTTTCACATTTTAAACGTACAATTATATTTTTTTATTTCAAGTTCTCACTGAATAATAGAAAAGACCGCGTGTAATTTTAATGTTTACATTTATAATCAATAAAAAAAAAATTATTATTGAAAGTTATCTTTTTTCTATGTACATGTTTTTAATATTCATGTTAAAATTTGTGTTTTTGTATTTAATTATTCATATTATAAGTATAAGAAAGGTATTTTACAGTTTCGTAATGAATACAAACCTTTAACGTTACAAAATTTAGAATTGTTTTTTTTTTTTTTTCTTTTTTGTCATCGAAATTTCAATGTGCACCTGCAGTTTTTCTTAAAATAACTCAAAATATGAAGTACAATTCCACGAAATTAATTTGTTGTTTATAAATCATGTATAAAAATTTTTTTATACCGCGAAATTATGAAAATATTTCGATCGCATTTCATTTCAATTTTTTTTTGAGTAAATTTTCTTATTAATTTACAGATATGGATTAAAATTAATATCACTGGGGCTTATTCGGAGTATCGAATCACTAAATGATAATGATATCGTAAAAGTTTCAAAATACTTTATTATGGACACGAATCATTTATTTGAATAGGTTTGTGTTTACAATAATAATATTAAACTTATCACTATCATTTAGTGATTCGCTGCTCAGAATAAGGCCCATTAATTGCATCTAAAAATAATTCCATATTTTATTTAATTCATATTAAATCAAAATTTAAAAAATTATTACATTTTCACATTATTTTTTTATTATATAAAATTGTGTATTTTAATTAATGATAACCAATATTTTGAAAATTAATTTACAAAATTATTCTTATTTAATTAGTAAGCAAAATTTTTTTGTTAAAGAACTATAGTAATTTTTTACTTAACAATTTTTCTTATTATAAAATATTTAAATATAAAATGTCTCTTGATTAAAATGACAATCAGGGGGTATTCAGAACCTATTATATTATCGTTATTTTGAACTAGGCAAAGAAAAATTTATGTATGTATCCCTACACTAATTTTATTTGTATTTTCTTCATTAATAATTAAATTTTATTAATTTTCTTCATTAATTAAAAAAATCTAAAATTATATTTGAATGTGCAGCTTTTCAAAGAAACAGAAAACGTAATTAATACTTAGTCAGAATTGAATTTTATCCTGAAATATTTTTTGCAAATATCCTTAATAATTGCATAGTCTGTCAAATCTAAATTACATAAACTCACAACCTTATGAGTCAAATCAATCAGCACTATCCTTATTGCTAAAATTTGTTATAGAACAACTTATGCGTCATAAGAAAATATTTTTCTAAAGTAATCTGGCAATGCTGTGCAATTTCAAGAATTAATTTATTTTACCTTTTACATATATGTATTTGAAATATATGTATATATATATATATGCATAAATTTGTATATGTAGATATCGTCGTTTAAATACAAGTTTTACATGCTTATATACACACCACATGTGAATATATTTGTATAAAACGAAACATTCACCTTTGCTTCCAAGCAGAAAATTTTCTATATATGTATACAAAAAATACACAATACGCTGCTTTATATATAAATTGGGTATACTTAAATATTTTCAAATTTGTATTGTCTTGTAAAAAAAAGCTGCTATTTCATATTATATTTTACGTTTCTTCTGTTTCTTCTATATCTTCTAAGTGTTAGTGGCCAAGGGCTAGCGTCTCTTTTGTTTTAAATATACAAAAAACAAAATAAAAAAACAAGAAAGTAAGGAAAGCACCTTTAACGACATTTTGTTTAAATATTTTTTTTCTATTAAATATTTATACCCATCTATCCATATATACATACATACATACATACATTTAATTTAAAAGATACATATATGTACATAAATAAAATATACGTACATATATTAATAATTTCAATAAAAGGATACTTTTCTGCACTCCATTACCTACATAATTTTCAAGAAACACGTTTTTAAACTAAATGAATAGGAACAAAAAACATTTCGATTGTTTCAAAAATAAAATTACACATTCTTTTTTTATTTCCATGTTTAAAAACATAAAAAATATTTTTGTTTAATTATAAAATCTGCATGTATGTACATATGTATGTATACAAATTCATCTTTTATAAATTTCTTACATAGAAAAAATAATTTTTTTTTTGTGTAAAATATAAAATGGGAATATTTATAAATATATGTATATATATATATACATATTATATTCATGTATGAATGCTATATACAATATATAAATGTATATAATATTTCCTCAATTACAATTTGGCAACTTGGCAATTCTCAAATATAATGAAAGAAAGAATGAGAGAAAGAACCCTTATTGGTTTGGTACGCCGCACACACAACAAAAACGAGTGAACGGTAAAAAGAGTCAGGCAGAGTAGTGCTATGCTAAAGCATTTACGACGTTTGCCTTTGTAGTTTTTATTATACCAGCATAGCATAGTGGATATTTGAAAGAAGAGCGCGCGTTTTTTTATATTGTATTTTGTGTTTTATACAAAGTAGTTTTTTTTTTGTTTTAAGGAAACTAATTTTTAAGCTAAATAAAAGTCTTAATTCCTAGTTCAATATAAATGAATAATATATATACATATATATACATGCATATATATATATGTATATATATATATATAAATATGTATAAATAAATAATAAAAAAAAAAGATATAGTTCTTCCAAAAAGCATAAAAATTTTTTTGTTGATAGTTGCTTTAAAATTTAATTTAGTAAATCAAAGAAAATTAATTACAACAAAAAAAAAAAAAAAAAAATATTTTATATTAAGTGAAATTTTGAAAATTGCAAAACGCAAAGCCTTGAAATTTAGTAGAATGGTTATCAAAAAATAATTATATTTGCAAAAATAAAAAAAAATAAAAGAGAAATATATTTAAATTTAGGATAAATTACAAAATTAAATTAAAATTATAAAAAATGAAAAAATGAAACCAAAATTAATAAAATAGAAACCAAAATTATAAAAAAAAAATTTTGTGTTTGTGGAAAAAGTGTAAAGTATATATATATATATATATGTATATATATATTTGTTTTATATATGTATAAATAAAAATATTTTCACATATCTCTATGTGTATAAAATATAAATTTTTTTAAATAAATTGAAATTTCAATGCAATTTCATTTTAAAAAAATCGCTTTAAAAATTTTTCCTCTTATAAAAACAAAAATTTTAATTTTACGCAAGTAAAACCAAAAAATTCATAAGAAACAAAACAAAATCTTTACAAAAAAAAAAAAGGAAAATTTTTTTTATTTTTGTTTTTTAAAACTTTCCATAACGAAATTTTTCTCTGAAAAAATTTATTTAGTAATTTTATTATTAAAAAAAAAAATACCATAAAAAATTTAAAAAACAAAAAATATAAAAAATGTCGGAGCACCATCGTGGTGCTTGGGATACTAGAAGCGGTGGTGATGCCGTATGGTGGTCAGCTGCTGGCTCGCTTGCAACGCAAGACCAACAAACTTTACATCATCAACATTTAATTAATCAGCATCATCAACAGCAATTAGCTGCACAGCAACAGCAGCAACAACAAGTTCAACAGCAACTGCAACAACAACATCAAGTTGTTGTACAACAGGCACAACAGCAAGCACATAATAATGATGCTAGAAATAATTGTACAACATCTGGTGTAGCAACACAACAATTATTTTCATATAAAATGGCTAGTAGTTTTCAGAATCCAGCTACAACAATGGCACAGGTTGTTGCATCATCAAATTCAAATGCTAATAATTCTAATACAACCGGTTATGATTATCGTACATTAAATATGGCAACTGCCGCTGCAACTGCATCACCTGGTACACAATGGTGGTATGCAACTGCTGCTAATCAGGGACAAATCGATGCAAATGCATTACAGCAACAACAACAGCAGCAGCAACAACAGCAACAGCAAAATCAACAACATCAACAGCAACAACAACAGCAACAACAGCAGCAACAACAACAACAGCAACAGCAGCAACAACAACAGCAACAAAATATGAACGCAGTAAATACAACGGTAAGTAGTTATGCATACATACCTTAAAAAATTTACATTGTCTTAAAACATTTTTTTTTTTTTTTTTATTAAAACATTTTCTTTTCATCGTTTATTTTAAAAAATTAATCTTTAGAATAAAAAAAATTACTTTTCAAAGTAATTTTTTTTTAATAATCTTGAAAGTTTTAATTTTTTTTTTTTTTAGGTTTGTTTTTAAAATCAAATTAGATCAGAAACGAAATTAAATGATTTTAAATAAATTTAAATTAGTTGTTAATATTAATTTGTTAAAATAGGTGTTTTAAATGTGTATACGTATTACATTTAAACAAATAAATTTTAAAAACAAATGTCAAAATGTCTTAGGTTAAAAGTAAGATTTTGTTAGAATTTGTTAGAATTAGTTTCTTTCGCTTTTTTCTTACAAAAATCAACATAAAAGAATTTATGTCTAGGAGTTGCAGGGAATTTTATTAAAACCTTCTTTGTAAACGTTATTTTTATTTTTTTAGAAAATTTTGATTTTTAAGCAGAAATTTGTTGAAATCTGAGGTTTTAAAATTTGTTTTTTGGGACTACATTTTTAAAATTGTAGTATCTATGGAATGACACCATTAGATTTAAGTTGTCGTTTCATAAAAATTTACTTGTGAGTACCGAATCTTTGTGAATATCGAAGGGAAAAATTATTAATTGACGTTGTCAAATTACATGTGCACTATTTATGCGCTATGTAGAACTTATTCTTTTAAAATTTTCGAAAATATAAATCATGATTTCTCATTTATTATAAAAACGTTGCAATTTCGGAATTGGCGAAAATCAAACTAGCATAAAAAGAATAATCTCTCAAAACTGCTACGTTATGAAAATTGTTTCGAGTAGTTCCTAAAAAGTTGCAAATATTTTATAAAGTGTTTGATTTTAGTCTTATTTAAGAAGATTTGAAGAGAAAATAGAATATCTAGTTCAAGTCTTAAATAGATTTGAAGAGCAAATTAATTTTAATTCTATATATTGAAAATTTAAAATATATTTTATTAGTTTAAGCTGCCAAAACAATGATAACTGTATTGTGGTTGTAATATAGGCACGAATAATTTGAAAAAAGATTCAAATGAAAAATTTCACAAAAAATTTTTACAATTTGTGATCTTAAATATTATAATGTGTGTATGTATGTATGAAGTAATTATTAGTTGAAATTTTGAAATTAAATAAATCAGTGGCTTTTTAAGTCTTCAAATGACGACTATTAAAAATTTTGAATTAAAAATTTGAAATTCAAAATTGGTTTTGTTTTAAAAAAATTGTTTGATTGAATTTTAAATATTTTATCCTTTTCTAATTTAATATTAGAAAAAGATTTTCATGCTAATGAAATTTAAAATTTTTCAAATTACTAGAAAATTTTTTATTAAAACCCACCATTGTTTTTTCTTATTTTGATTAAATGTGTGAATTCATTTTAATTCAGTTTTATACTTAATTTTATTATCCAATATTAATTGAAAATTTTGCAAAATATATTTTATGAGTAATTAACGCAAAAAATGTATGAATCATAAAATTCGCTTTCTAAATAAATTGACAATTATTATATGAAAAGAAAGTAGATAGGCACCTAGGGTTAATATGGAAGTTTTTTAATACCATTTAATAATTTTCATTTTAATATTAATATAATTTAATAAATCTACACTAATAGAAAACTAAATTAAAATTAAAATTAAAAATTTTGCTTCATATTTTTTTCGCATTCAATGTGCTGCGGCTTCTGCTGCTTAGAGTTAGGACTAAATAAAATTCAATAGTTAAGAAAATTAATTTTGTTTTAAGGATATTGCTTTTCCTGTTTTCTTCTTTTCATTAAAATCAATAATTTAAAAATAATAATTATTGAAAAATAAAGTGATTTCTTGTACGTATATTGTATCGTATATTGCATAAAATACATACATATAATATGTATTATAATTATTTATTTATTTATTTATTTATATAGTTTTTGTTTTCTTCAAGTTTTCAATTCAATTTTCATATTTCTTTAAAATATTTAATATTAAAAAAAAAAGGTTGTTGGCAGACATTTTACTCCATTTTCTATTTTTTTTTTTTTTTTTTTTTTGGTTTTGTGCCCTTCTTTACCTTCTTTCCAATTTATTTTTTCATTTGTGTTTTTATGTACATGGGATCCTAAGAGTATATATATTCATTTAATATGTATATATGTACATATGTACATATGTTTATACCTATATGTTTTCATGTTAAGGCTTTTTTTGTATGTATTTTTCAAAGTGGGAATATATAAGTAATAAAACATATGTATGTATGCATATAAAGAGTACATTTTTTGAACATATGTAAATACTATATATGTAGAAAAATATGTTTATTATATTTATAATATATAAGTATGTATATACATATTATATGTATATACATACATATATTAAATTTTCATTTGAGCGACCACGATGGCTCCAGTTAGTGGAGCATGAGGGAGAAGTAATTGGGACGGGTAAATATGTATATTTTCTATAAATCTATATATATATATATATATATATATCAAAAAGAAAGAGAGAGGATGAGAATGTTAAAAAAAGAAAGAGAAAGAGAGAAAGAGTACATAAAAACAAAAAAAAAATGAAATAAAATTTTTCTGCACATATTTTGGAAATTCAATCAAATATTAAAACAAGCTAGTAAGTAAGCAAGCACATCAACTACCAGTAAGCAAAAATAACAAAAACAACAATAAAATAAAATTAAAAAGGTTGTAGGAACAGTTAAACAGAGACAAAAAAAATTTTTTTTTGTATTCAATACAGAAAAACATCATCTGAAGTTTTTACACTATATCTACAAGATTATTCAAATGTAAAAGCACTCCACCATATTATATGTATGCATGTATGTATATTAAATAATATATGAATATTGAGATTATTTTATGTGTATGGTGTATCTTTGCATGTATCAAATAAAAAAAAAAAAAAAAAGAAGAAAAAACACAAAAATCTTTAGATATTTTAATATAGACCGTATATACATACACATATGTATGTATAAAGAAAAAGTAAAATATATTTGCCGTTAAATTTTGTGGTATGGTGTGTTGTAGAGTAACACACACAGAGAACACACATTCTAATATGTGTAAGAGTAGAGGAGAGAAATAAAACCAAAAAAAAAAAACAAAAACCGAAACAGAAACAGAACAACGAATCCAAACCAATATTTTTAAAGACCTGAAATTTCCTTTATTTCTTTTTATTTTTTTTTTTTATACAATACATAAAATTTTGTACATGACTATTAATGTATGTAACAATATATGTGTACAATTAAAATTTATATATGTAAAATATGCATTCAATATTTTCTCGGGACACTTCTTTATAATAAACTTTGCGCAGGGTATGAAATAATACTTTTGTTTTTTTATTATTATTTTTCTTTATTCTTTTTGTTTTATTAATTTTTTGTATGCAATCAAGCAACCCTCATATTACAATTTAAGTTAATTTTTTATTTTTTTATTATTTTCTTTCTTGTTTTTCCACTCATGGCTTTCAATTAACTCTTCTAGTAAATAAAGTACAATGCATACATGTACGTACCGTATACTTATCGATGTACATACATACATTATGCATATACATACTCTCCCATACCAATATAAAAAATGTAGATGTATCAGAAGCAAATTCAAATGAAAAAAAAAATTAAAATTATTTTTTTCTTTTTTAATTCTTTAGAATTTTTCTGATTGTTTTATTGGGAAATTAAAAAAAAAAAAATGTTTTGTTTTTCTTTTATTGTAAAAAGGTGTAAAAAAATAGAAAAAAAAATAAATATTTATTATTTTTGTAACAAATAATAATTTTCTCTTTTTATCTTGAAACTTTTGATTACAAAAAGTAGGTAAATGGTTTGATAATCTAATCTTCTCAAAAATTTGTAATATTAAGTATGAAATAAAATAATTTGCGTACCAAATTGCATTTAATAAAAAATATTGCATTACAGAATATTAGGGTTCATTTGCAATTTTTTTTTTATAACAATGCTAATTTATTTCATTTGCATGAAAATGACATAAATTATTTTTGAAATAACCTTTTTTTGTATTTTCAATACAAAATTTATTAAATTCAACTGTACTCATAATGTATGTATATATATGTGTGGGTATACAGAGTAGATTCAAGAAGTGAATTTAAAAAAGTGCATCCATTTTGAAGTAATGGTTTGCTTACACTAATTTAGGTCTAGAACTTGCATTTCTACATATATTTTTTTAATAAATTGCCAATTTCAATGTTTGAATAATAAAATCTTTTATTATGTTATAATTTTGCATAAATTTAGGAGAAATTTTTAAATTGAAGATTAAATTCATTGTGTCAAAGAAATTGAAGGACCAAAAATTGAATAATTACAAACTTTAATGGGAATAATTAATTCAAAACAAAAGAAAATACTCAGAAATTTTGTTTCTGTGGATTTAAAAAATTTATCCGAAATTTGATGTAAAAAAAATTACATATGCTTACATACATTGCAAATAAGTAAAACAATCGATTTAAAATAGCAGTTAATGTAACGAGGCAATTCGACAATCTTAATTTTATAGTTTTTTGTTTTATGCAGTCTTCATCCTTAAGCTTTTATAGAATTTGTAAATTGATTTATTGTTTGATTCGAAATTGATTCGGACACAATATGTCAAAAAGTAGGAATTTGCACGTCTTTATAGATTATAGATTAGGTATCATAGCGTAGATTACGCTTAATAACCCCAAATAACCCTGCATTGTCAAATAAAATCAAAGTGTTAAATTAACATTAGAAATTGTTACCATCCTTATTAAATCCAGCCTATTGCAAATTTTCTACGCCAAAGTCAAAAATTACCACTGCGTCAATTTTAATATTAACTAACGCATACTGATAATATTTTATTACCAAAAGTTGACAAAAAGCATCCAGAATTTTTTTTATGCACA